GAGTCTTTCCCTCCAGGTTGTGGGAACTTGACTTAACTGTAGGAGGAGTCACCTCATCCCAGTCACAACTCCTCTACCCTGGCACCTCTCCTTCCAGTATCTGCCCTCAAACTCCTCCCTGTACTAGTTATGGTCCGATCTGTGGGTACTGGTCCCCCTTCTCCCTAGCCTCACCTCCCCGTCCACAGGACTTTCCAACCACTGCTGTGTTTGGGGGTGTAGGGATGTCTTAAATATGGACTTGTTGTCTTTGGGAAAACCAATCGGAAGCTCTTCAAAAATGGGCCATCAGGAGAATCACACAAGAGTTCCTAAGCAAGCTTAGGATCCTAAGCCGCTTATGGTTTCATACTTAACAAAACACTCAGAATCTAGGAGGAAACTCCCAGAATATTAACCAACACCAATGCTGTAGCCAGTTTGGTGTGGGAAGCAGCAGCACCCTTTTGCTTATTTGTAAGAGGGCTGCAGTCTTGATGGGCCCAACCTTACACTTGCACTCCTTCTCCCAGGCTGTGTAAATGTGGGTCTTCTGGTCTGGAGGCATGCCCTGCAGTTGAGGAGGCAGAGTGACAGGGATGTGCATGCATACAGCCAGGGCCAGGAGAAGCTGTGCTCAAGGTTTGTAAGCCATTTGCTGTGCTGGTTCCCCCATGCTGTGGTCTGGATAACGCAGCTGTTGGACAGAAGGTATCTGCCGTGTGCAATCTGCCTTGGAGGAGTTCTGGTGCCAGGCCCCAGTGTGGCGCAAGCCAGTCCAGCCATTCATGTGTAAATGCCCCTTAGGTGGGCTTGGGCTTTTGTACAGCACAGGGAAGTTTGGTGTGTGTCTATTCACAGTGCTCTGGAGGTGATTTTGCTGGCTCGGATTCATTACTCCTGATGGTCTCATCTCTGACAAAGCTTTTTTTCTGGGATGGTAAAGAGATGCCACGGTTTCAACAGGTGTTGGCATGATGCTGGCCAGGCCGGGTCTCTGATTGGCTGATTGGTTTATTCCTTGTCTAGGATGATACCCCTGCCTTTTTAGTCTTGCCCTGTTGGCTTTGCTTTAAACCAGCGTATAAAGTAACCCCCAATTATTCATTCCTGAAACAGTCCTTATTTTCTGGGCTTTTTAGCTGGCCTTTAAAGGTTATCTACCTGGTGGCTGCCGGCCTTGGCAAGCAGGAAATGCTGTTAACATATGCTTCTAAGGGACTTCTTCCAGAACTTCAAGTACAATTCTGAGTTCCATAAAGGTGAAGAAATCAAGAGTAGCAATCCCTTGTTGCCTGTTGTTCTTCAACTGACCTCTACTTAGCAGCCATTAGAGTTAGATTGAAGTTCAAGGTTACATTCAAGTATCATCAGCTCCAAGTGGTACAACAGAGCCTATCGAATGTAACTGTAACATCTGACGATTGCTTTAGGAAGTGTGTGAAATTGAACAGCAGTATTCACTTTTGATATTACCACCGTCCTGAGTTAGCAAGGAGTTTCCGTCCCATTTTTGAAATGAGAGAAATGAGGATCAGCAGAGCTGTCCAGGGCCTAGATCCTGCAAGTTCAGAGTCTAACTTTGCATACCACTAAATGCATCACACGGAAGCCACACGTAACCCTTCCTCTCTCGCCCTGGGCCTATCTTCTATCTGAGGACCCCTGTGTAGGACTCTTGTTCCATCCTCACTCCAAGTCCTGTCCCTCCTAGGAGCTGGGAGAGTAGAAAGTGGGGCCACCCCAGGTAGTCCAGGTAATCAGAACCTTGGCCCCATGTTCCTGGGACCTAACCCATCTCTGCTTGCTGAGGACACAGTACCTTCAGGAGCCTCCTCTGAAGCAGGTGTGGCCTTGAATTGTTTTAGGTCAGTAGTAAAGGAGTTGAGGAGAATAGGGTCCTTTGGGACATACCCTTCTTTTTCTTCCCTGTGCCCTGCCTCCCTGCATCTGAAGAGTTTGTCAGCCACACCCACCCAAGGAAAAGTACTACTTTCATTCCCAAAGGATTATGTGCCCACAGCCTGGAGCAGCTTCCCATGATGGCTCTGTCCTGGGAGTTCCTGGCCCCTGAACAAGTCTTGCTATAGGTTTTCCTGTGGGTCCAGAATGAAAGATTTCACCAGAGGCTTTACCAGGAGAGCCCTTGAGATGCAGAGTAGGCCCATCAGAAAATATTTTTCTCTAAGCTCACTGCTCTGCCTCAAACCTTTGCCACCTTTGATGGAGTGATGCAATAGCACAGTGGCTGAGAGTATGAACTCTCAGGCTGTGCTGACTGCCCTCAAATCCCAATTCCACCCTTACTGTGTGGCCTTAGGCTAGTGACTTCATCTCTCTCTTCTTTCGCTTCCTAATCCATCTAGTGGAGATAACAATAAGTATATACCAAACTCTGTGGCTTCTTTTGCTTTGGAGCTTTTCCTGACCACCCCCCACCCCTACACCCATCAATCAAGTACCTGTTTCCTTCCCCATGTTGGACCCTCTCCTTCCCTATTTGGATGTGGGTCTCACATATGTGCAGGCCATCATTCCTATTGAACTGGGTTTGTCCCCCCTTCAAACCAGGGCTGGAATTGGATCTGATTTCCCTGCTGTCTCCAGCACCCACCCACCACACAGCCTTACACATATTGCGTGCAAGGAAGGCCCTGGAGAATTAATACTTTCACCCAGTACCCTCCAAGATTTCCTGTTGTCCTAGTTCCCTGAGCCAAGACTCGGCTTAATTGCTCTAGGGTATACCTGGGAATCCCTGATTCTCATTGGAAATGAGGCTTCTATTTTGTGGGCTTCTTTTCCTTTTAGGAATTAATTTCTATTCCACATAGGGATTGGGGGCTTCTATTCCTTTCAGGGAGGGAGGAGTGGGGAGCAAGGTGCCAAGCACTTGCCAGATATCTGCAATCCCCAAGTCCTAAGAGGACTGCCTAGTGCAACAGGTGAGGGGCAGGGTTCCCGGTGGTACCTTTGGGAGATGATCCAGCTGTTCCCAAGTCAGTCCCAAGGTCTGGAAATATACCCCTCCGAGCAGAGAAGTGGATAGCCGAGGGGTGTCTGCTGGTGTTCATTGCAGCCGGGCAAGGGTTAATCCCTCAGCAGTCAGCTAAACCAGTTCCTGCTTCTGAATGCCCGTGTTGTTTCCCTGGCTTCAGCTGTGGGGGCTCTGCACACTCTTGTCCTTCTGGGTTTCCTGGAGGTGGAGGAAAGCAGCCTTCCCTGTAAACTGGGCAAGAAGCAGAGCTGTGAGGCTGAGCGCTCTGGGCACTGGGGCCTCAAAAGAGGAGCCGAGGCCAGTCCAAGATCCTCTGCAAGCCCAAGGAGCGGTGGCCCTCTCTGGACGATGGCATGCTTCAGGGAAAGTGTCAATCACACGTTGGTTTGGGGTGTTAACTCTGCTCCTTTCTAGCTGTATACCTTGGGCAGATAGTTTGCTTTCTGAGCCTCTGCTAATACGTCCCGAGCACTGGGATGAAGATAACATGCGCAGTGACTGGCGCATGTCTGGACAGCTGTGGGGTGCTGGATATTCAAGAGCCATTGTCACAGCATGAAGAAAGAGCTCGGCGGCACAGTGTCTTGGCATGTGGTCGCAGCAGTTGTTAATCACCAATAGAGTTATCCTATCTTTCCATGATCTGAGAGGGGCTATGTGCTCATTTCCTAGTTTGGTCATTGCATTAACCAGTACCCATTTTGAATGCCAGTCATACACTAAGCTCTGTAACTTGCTCCTGGGGCTTTAACATTGTATAAGGCTTGGTACATGTCCTCCAGGAGGCTGCAGGGTCGTGGAGGAACGAGCCAGGTAGGCAGAAGCCAGGAGTGTGCAGAGATGCTGCGTGGCTCAGAACAGTATTCACATCAGATTGGGGACTTCGATGGCTTCCTGGAGAGGTGACATCTGAGCTGAATCTGGAAAGATGAGTAGGAGTTCCAAGGGAAAGAAAGGGGACAAAGGGACTTCCGAGGAAAGGGACAATATATGCAAATGAGAGAGTACAAGCAGCTTGAAACAATGAGATTGAACATCTGCCTTCTAGGTCCTGATACTAGTTCAGAGTAGCTGGAGGGAGGGGCTGGGTATGCTGCGTGGGGCAGAGTTGAGGGGTTGTGACACAGTGGTGTGATGGGGTACCTGGCGACCCAACTGAAGTTTTGAACTTTGCAGCAGCAGTTCTGACTTTTTTTTCAGTACTGGCTGGTAGGGTGTGAAGGGGCACTTCATCTGTGTCACAACCCCCCAGCCACTATGCCATTCCCAGCCCCATCAGGGACCACCCTCCCTGCATCCCCTCCCCATTTCCTACCCTTCTTTGCAGGAGTTAACCTTGAATTCCGATTTTGGCCTCTTCACGTGTACTAAGAGCCAAGAAAACAGCATTTGGTTTTATCACATTTTGTCATATCATGCAAGCTGGCTGCTAGGAGCCAGCCACAGAAAACAAGAAATCATTTCAGTAACATATTGTTTAAAATCAGCAAATTCTGTTGAAATGAGGCTAGGCCAGGCAAGTCTAGTGGTTGTGAGGATGGATAGCTATAGGGAGTCAAAAAAAATCTATTTATTTATTTATTTATCTTTTTATTGCTTTCACAGAAAGAACAAGTGAGCTAATACAAGGAAAGTGTTTAGGCATGTTGTTTCTGGCACCAAGTAGAAACTCAATGGTCTGAGCTGTTTTCCATGCTTGTTACTTGCAGTGAACACCGTGAGCGAAGGTCAAAGGCATACTGCAGTGGGCAGCTGCAATGTGCCAGACCCTGTCTGGAGATGTTTCACTTTTATCTCCATCCCACAACCCTCCAAGGTTGCGTGATAAGCCATATTTCACAGCTGGAGGAGCTGACGCTGTAAGAGCTAGAAACTGCTTAAATCACAGAGCAGCAGGTGGCAAGCCTGGGAATCAAACCCAAGTCCCCAGGACTACGAGGGTGCGTGCCCTTCATGCAGCCAGATGAGGAAGGAGCCATGCCCGGGGGGGGGGGGGGGGGAGCAGGGGGTATCCTGGCCAGTCCAGGCCAGCTTCAACTTGGCCCTGGCCAGCTGTGTGACTTTGGCTTCTGCAATGAGAGAGCAGGAGCCAAATGACCAATGAGACTGGGCAGAAAAATTCTGCACTCAAGTGGGCCGTCAGAGGAGAAGAGGGCTTAAGGACTGCAGATGGCTTGGGCTTCTCAGCCAACCCATTTCTTTTCTTTCCAGAGCTGAAACAGTGATTAAGGGGGAAATGTACAAGTTATTGAAGTGCTGGCGACAGGACGGTGATTAAATAGACATTTATATAAGGGACATGAAAAGACCTCTACCAGTAATTTGACTTGAGGGAAATTAGTTTAGAGAATCAAATGTAAACCCTGCTCAGGTCTGTAGATATCCAAATTGACCAATGTCAAGCTTATTCTGATAGTGGCTCTTTGGGGGCCACTGTGGCCAGTCAGAAAGTCATCAATCAGATGTCGGCCCAATTGAAAAGGACTGGTGGATTAACCAGGCTATTAGCTTTGTGTGACGGTTGCTTTCATTCTCCTAAGTGATTTGCTTGGATCAGTTACTCAGATTCAATCAGCCAATGCTCATTAAGTGCCTACTATGTGAGCGAGGCCCTGACCCACAAAGATGACCATAAATCCCATCTGTTTCTGGCCAAGAGGCCCACAAAGATCCATGTGCTCCATCAAGGTGGGTAGGGCGAAAAGGAGCTATCTATCATATAACGAGTGGGGTTGGGGTTTGTGTTGGACACTGTCTCACCACAGTCACATTCATCTGTACCAGAATCAAGTCAGTGTTACGGAAGCCACTGTACAGATGAGGAAACCGAGGTTCAGGGGAGACACAAGGTCACACAGCTGAGAGACAGCACAGTCAGGGTTCAGCCCAAACTGCATGCACTGCACACCTGATGTTTTTTTCCTACGACTCCACTCTGACAACCCCCAGACCTGGTCATAAGGACAAACGCTCCAACTAAGAGTGTCGCTCACAGCCTCCCAAGCCTTCGCCTGGAGCTTTTTTGGCTGCCTGTGGCTTTTGAACTCCAAGACTCGTCCTGAGTTCCAAGGCCCGCAAACCTGAGAAGGAAAAGCAGTTCTTAAGAGCACGGGATCAATAATGAACTTGCATTTTCCTGCTCCCGACAGCCAAACTTGGTTGTAGATCTACGGCAGGGAATCTACCGGGGGAGCTGAGAAAAACTTTAAATCCTGCCACCCTCTGAAGCGAATGACCATTTTCATTCTTTCAAGGACACTGATAACTTGAAGACCTGGAGAAGGCAATGTTACCATATTGAGATCCAGCTCAGGCCCGTGCTAACAGATGACTCACTCGTAATTGGAACATGAATTGTTGGTAAAACAAATAGAGGCTGCTAACGTACTGGGGAAGTTTGTTCTCCTGAGCATGTCAAATATCTCCCCTGACACCATTTTTTATACTATTAATTTGCTTAGTAAATTGTTTTCTCGGATTCCACACACATTTATTGAGCTCCTACTCTCTGCCCGGCACTTTTACATCCATTATTTTATTTCAGCCTGACACTGCTGGACGGCAGAGGAAAGTCTCCCTTTCCCTCGGGTATAGGTAAGGAAACCAAGGCACAGAGCAGGGTGGTACCTCACCCAAGATCATAGAGAGAAGTGCTGGTCTCAGGGTCCCAAAGTCAAGGTGGTTTGCACCCGCCACATTGAAGTTGCAGCTTTGGCCAGACAAACCGGCTTTCTCATCCTTAGCCTCGATTTATTCCACCTGGAGTGGAAGTTGCAATACACGTTCCCGTCTCGTTTCATTCTGGTGGCAATGGAGGGTGCTTATTGCGCTCTGCTGGCTGCCTGACTCCAGGGAGGGGAGTGACTTGCCTAGGGTCACAGAGCACAGGAATGGAAGAAGAGCCAGAATTTGAAATCGGGTTGCCTAAGGCACCCTATACCCCTAGCCCCTCTATTCTTGGCAGGAATAGGCTTGAGGGGATTTTACCTATGCTGAAAGATTTTCTTAGGGAGAAAAAGGGACAGATGTGTGAGCAACTCCTTCAGCAGTGAAAGAAAGGGACTGCTGAGAGCTGGTGTTGTGGCACCTTCCTGAATCTGTCCAGGACCCCATCGTCTTTCCCTTCCCCTTAGGCAGGTCTGTTCCAGTGCAATCCAAAGGGCTGGGGGGTGACTGGGGAGCCCTGCAGGGTGGACGGACATGCTTCTCCACCTTCAGCATGCCAGATGCCTAGTCCCTGATTCCTAATAGGGGCGGGGCTTCCATTTGTATTTCTAACAAGCTCCTGGGTGAGGCTGATGCTGCTATTCTTTGGATCACAATTTGGCAGACAGGCTGTGGGTTCCTGGAAGCCCCCTGAAACCTGAGAATGAGGGACCAGCATAGCTGTCAATCATGTCAAATTCACTGTCTGTAAGAGTTATTCGGGATGCATCCTATAGGGAGGGAAGAAAGGGAGCCCAGGGAGGGACATGTGCTTCCCAGGGAACCCAGGAAGATGTGCAAAACAGATGCATCATTGTTCCAAGGCGGCCCCTGCTACCCCAGAGCAGGACCAACAGAGGACTTGAACCAAATCAAAGTGCAAAAGCCCTGTGGTAGGCTGAATAATGAATGGCCCCTTACAGATGGCCATGTCCTCAGCCCTAGATGAGGCTGGTGAATATGTTACCTTTGCAGATGGGATTCAATGAAGGACTTTTGAGCTTGGGAGATTATTCTGGATTATCTTGGTGGACCCCAATACAACCAAGGGTCCTTCTAACTGAGAAAGGGACACAGTAGAGTCAGAAGGAGAAGAGATATAACCATGGAAGTAGAAGTCAGAGAATCAGAGAGAGATTTGAAGACATCGAGCTGTTGATGGCTTTGGAAATGGAGGAGGTGGCCATGTGTCAAAGAGTGGGGGCTGTCCCTAGAAGCCGGAAAGACAAGGAAATAGGTTCTACCCTGAAGGCTCCAGAAACAACAACACATCCCTGCCCATCCTTTGGTCAGAGCCAGTAAAATTCATTTTGACTCCAGCCAACAGGATAGTAAATTTGTGTTGTTTGAAGCTACTAAGATTCCTGGTGATTTGTTATAGCAGCACTAGGAAACAAACAAACAAACAAACAAAAAACATGCTTCACTTGTTTCTGATATATGAAATATTTTCCGTTACAGACCTGAATCCACATAATGAATCAGGCTAGGTGGTTTTGGAGCAGAGTCTGCCTAAAAATTGGGGAAATAAAAGGATTGGTAACAAACATTCATCTAGTTAAAAAAAAAAAAATAGCACGGGAATATTTTGACCACACATTGATGCAAGTTTGAGAATTTGGACCCCTGAAATTTGGAAAAAAAGACCACCAGGAGGGGGCACAAAGATTTCTCAGGAGTCAGACAGACTCATATTCAAATCCTAGCTCTGCCAGGTATTAATAAGGGAGAGCTGGTGGCGGGTGGGGGAGCTTATCATCATCAGGACTCGGACTCCTCATTTGTAAAACATGGATGGTACCTTCCTGGCAGGATTGTTGTGAAATTTAAGTATAGTATATTAATCTTTTGAAAGATTATTTATGGAGAGCCAGCCATGGGCTAATGTCAGCAGATAAAAGTTAAGTATAAATACAGAAAGTGCTCCTACTCTTCAGCACATAAAAGCACTGTGCCAATGTACAGGTACTAGATAACTAGGATCTATCACTCATGTCCTCATCAGCAAGGCCCAGGGGGGAAAAGGCTTGCACATGTTGTCCCACAATGCTAGCCAGGAAGCATCGAGAGGTTTTCCCATTGCTCCTCTCTGGGTGGGTGGGAGCCTTTTGACTTTTCTTGCCCTTTAGCACTCTGGCCAAAATTAAAAATCAGAGAGGGAAAATCCCAGCTGCCCAAGGTCACACTGTGAGTCACTGGAGAGCCCGAGGTAGGCTGTGGGTGTACTTGTGTTTAAGCCTCCCTCCCGATGATCATTTCTTTTCACCGCAGAATCAGTCTCTCTGAACTCTCTTCTGCCAGTATATGTATTCTGGCCATCCCCTTCTGATTCTGATGGCATATCTGATCTGAATGTTGTTGATACTCTGATCTCTGGAAGTGAAGGGTTTAATCTTCTCTTGGAACCCCTCCCAAGGAAAATTATTTTCCCACTTTGAAATGGCACGGGCATCCACTGTGAACTCACATCCATAAATCTGCCGCGACGGCTCAGGAAAGCAGATGAGGTTTGATTCTGCTCCTCAGCACAGTCTCACCGAGCAAATTATGGAAAGAATTTGATTTATAGAAGCACCTCAAAGGCTCTGGAGTGAGACGCGTGTTTATTCACTTTATTACCATTTATTTTACACTATCTCTTTATGCTCCCTGCACATGGATTGGAAAGACTATTTGGATAGATGCTTGCGGTCTGCCACATGGCACGGCCCCCGTCGAGGCACATGGCCGTCTTTGGCGAGGCAGCCGCAGAGGACGGCGGTTGGGGGATCCTGGTGCCGGTGTTGGGGGAAAAGCCCGGTGGGTGCAGAGAAGGCCAGGGGCGCTGGCCCGGCTCCGCCTGCACGTCCCCAACTCCATATTTGCGTGACGCGCAACCAGCTGCAACCCCAGGCTGCGTGCAGGCGGCTTGATTTAAGATTCAAATATCTCCGAGCAGCTGGGGATATTTAACATCGCAATAATTACATTACATTTTTTTGACGGTACATGGAGTGAGAGCCTTTTTTGTTGCTGAATATTCCATGAGCATCAAATATTTTAACCAGCCACGGAAACAGGACTCCATTTTTCACATCCAAGTAGTTTCATTTTTAAAATTCTGGCTGAGGACGGCATCTCGGGCTTTCATCTTTCACCACGTCTTTGGAAGGGCAGGAGTGAGACGTTCCCTCTTCTGCGACAGAGGGACTCATCTGGGTGAGGCTGAGGGGAGAAGGAAATGGTTCAGGAGTCGGGAGGCCCCCTGGTGTGCCAGGACTGATGGTATCCATATGCCCAAAGTGATATCCCCGATACAGAGAGTGTCTGTGGGGTCGGCTGTGGGCTCTAAATGGTAATTCTGGCTATTCAGGTGGAAATGGTGGATTCCAGGAGGTGGGGTGGGGAGAGAGGAAGACCTACTATGCACCCAGATCTGTGGTGGCACGTTTATTAACCTCTTTATTCTTCAGAACACATGCTGGAGCTAATTCCTATTATACCCATTTTACAGATGAGGAAACCAAGGCGTCTTTGCTCCTTACTTTGATACCCTTGCCCACCCCATCATGTTCACAGACTCATGAGCAGCCCATGAGACAGGAAAGTGCCTCTTACTTTGGCTGACCTCCTTCCTCCTACCCTCCTAGAATCAAGGGTTCATGGCCCTGAGCTATAGCTAAGTCACTAGGAGCCCCTTGTCTCTTTTCGGGGAATTTTCCAACTTCCATGCCCTTGCTTGGGCTACTGCCTTCCCCTGGATGCCCTGATCCTCCATCTGCCTCTTCCATTCTGTTTTAGGTGCTGGGTCCTGAGACAGGCTCAGTATATGCCCAGAAGGCCACATGCAGGCTGATAGGAGGCTGCCTGAGATGGGCCCTGGAGGAACTGGGGTGGCGGGAGGGAGTCCTGCCTTTTTGCACCCTTATCTATGCTTCGAGCTTCTTAAAACCACTGTGTGTGTATGACTTACAACCAATAAACACAGAAAACAAAACAAAAACATTGCTTTAAAGAATCCCATATCTTCTGGGTCATCTCAGGCCTCTCCTCCCCAGAATGATGTGTAAAGCAAAGACAAGTTCTCCAGCCTTTGGACCACACGGCCGTGTCTCTGCCCGGCCTAGCCTCCTCTTCTCTCCTGGTCACTTATTGTGGTCAGTGCCCCCTTGTCAACTAATATGTCCTTGAGGCTAAAGACAATGTCTGGCTCTGTCCTGTGGTGGCCCCAGCCCCTAATTCTTACTTTGGAGGTCATGGTTTCCCTGTCTGCATAACATATTGTTGAACCAGGTAAAAGGATTGGTACCAAAAAGAATATTAGTGGATTCACTCAGTGGAAGTTCACTCAATGGTTCATCAACTCATTCCACAAAGTGTTACAGAGCTCCCTCGTGAGCCTGGGGCTTTCTGGCGGATACAGAATTCAGGAGGATGAGTTGAGCCCTTCCTGCCAGAACTCACATAGCAGAGATGGGCTTTCCAAGTCTCCCTGAAGATCAGAATTATTGAGAGGACTTGTTAAAAATCTCCAGCCCCAACCCAGAAATACTGAGTCAGAATTATAGGGGAGAGACCCAGTCTATTTTTTTTTTTGGTGTGGGGGGAGGGTACTGGGGGTTTAACTTAGGGGTACTTGACCACTGAGCCACATCCCAGCCCTATTTTATGTTTTTATTTTAGAGACAGGAGTTGCTTAGTGCCTTGCTATTGCTGAGGCTGGCTTTGAACTCATGAGCCTCCGGTCTCAGCCTCCTGAGCCACTGGGATTATAGTCATTTATTTTCAACAGGCACCCCCCCTCCCACCCCATGATTGAGGATTTTTTTTTTAAAAAAAAACTGCATACATGGGAGTGGATGAGACCGAAAATATGCAAGTAAACAAAGAAATGAGCAAGGATGTTTCCAATATTAATAATGCTCTGAAGGCGTGGGATAGACAGTGGCTGGGTACAGCGTGGAGACCAGGAGCAGGGAGACGAGCATTGTCAGGGGAAGTGACGTCTTCCCTGAGACCTGTGAGATGAGAAGGGGAAGCCACACGGGGATCTGGGGAAAAGCCTTCCAACCGGGGAATGGCAGAGGGAAAGCCCCGCGTGGGGAACAGCTGCTGCTTCCTCCCAGCCCTGGAAACCTCAGCTCAGTGGCTCAGTCCCTTGTTCTTTGTCCTGTGGGTACATCTGCTCCTTCCAAAACGGAGCTCACCCACACAGCGAGAGAGAACAGCATGAATCTAGCCGTTCTGGAGATATTGACCCAAAGAATGCTAATGGGATGGAGCCGTAGGTCCTTCAGCTGAACTCTCCTCTGGAAAAATAACTCCAAGGAGTGGAAAATAACTGCTGCCTCCCCAGGGGCTGGGGCTGGGGTTCCGTGGTAGAGCACTTGCCTGGCATGTGTGAGGCACGGGGTTCGATTCTCAGCACTGCATAGAAATAAATAAATTAAATCAACAACTAAAAAAAAAATACCTGCTGCCTGGAGAATCCAACTTCAGATCCCCAGGGGCAGCTCAGGGGGTGACTGACTTAGCCAGGAATACCACCACGTCCTGGATATTTAGCACCAGGTTCCTCTGCTGGTGAATCTTCATGAGACCAAAGGTCTTAGGCCTAAAAAAAATGTTAGGTCAGGGTAGCTGGTTGCCCACTGTGAAAACAGTCCCTTCCCTGGTTTGGTGTTTTGCAGGGAATGGGCAAGTTTTTCATTTCTGCTCACCTTCCTGGTAACCTTGAAAAGCAAACAGCAGTGCTTCCATTTCACAGATGGAGCAGCTAAGACTTGGAGGAGGGAACTGACCTGTCCAAAGTTACCCGGCTGGACCTGCAGCCAGGATGGTTCTGTCTCTTGCTCTGCTACTTTCCTGGCTCATGGTGTTGAATTGCTACTGAGAATCTAATTCTCATTGTCAGTGTCACCTCCTGGGGGAAGTCTTCCCTGATCTCAATGGAGGGCATCGTGAAACCTAGCCAAGGAGCTGAAATCTTTGGTGAGGAGGCCTATAACAGTGCCTGGGTTGTCCATAAGCAGACATTCTCGAATTTCAACAACTTTTATATTGTGAGACTCAACTGGGGATGTTGCAAAAATGCAGATTCTAGTTCAACCCTGTGGGGCCTGAAGTCCTGCCTTTCTGACAAGCCCCCTAGTGACTCCAGTGGCTGCTGGTGCATGCGCCATGTTTCGTGTTGCAACAGTTTTTAAAGCCAGAGTAGAACCTAAGAGGGGAGGAAGCAATCCTGATAGCCCTGGGTGCTTATCCATCCTGACAATGTATTCAGTGTTGCAATGAATCATTTTGCAGGGACAGTTCAAGGTGGGCCAGCCTTAACCTGAATAGTGCCTTGAGAAGCACAGCCATGTCTCCCAGGATAGACTTTTAGGAAGCTGCTGCTTGGAAATGCAGACTGTGACTGTGCAGCCCTTGTTAAGTTCCCGTTAAGGGTAACTCTTTCTTTTGTCTTTATATGACACTGCAATGACTGGTCATTTAGAAACCGGTGAATAGAGAAATAACAACAGAGTCACATAACTCCAAAACGAATCCCCTGCAAACACAAGGCACCAAGGTTTTCTGCATCCTTTCCTGATTTTGTGGATATCAGTGGACGTGTCCGTGACAGGTGAGAATCCAGGGAGAGTCTCTGTCATGATCACAGTAATCAGTCTTTGTCTTTGAGCAGCGTGTTGCTATTGAGAGGAAGAAAGCCTTCGTTTGAGGGAGCCGTGCCAGGAACAGGGCTTTTCTGGGTAATGCAGCTAGAAGCTTGTGCTTTTGTTGCTACAAGGCCATTAGTCAGAATTGCTATGGCTGCTTGCAAACCATGCATTCATTCCATTCACTCATTTGTACCCTCACTTGTTCTTTTTGTTGTTGTTGTTTTAGTCATTCATTCCTTCACTCAGTCTTTTATTCATTCACAGATTCACAGATCCATCTACTCATGCACACACTCATTGAGTACCTTGTATAGGACAGGCACTCCGCCAGACTCTCAGGATAACAAAGCAAATCCACTCCAAGTCACCGATTCCATCTCCTCACCGCTGCAGTATCCTGTAGCCAGGCAACAGACTAGACCCCTTGGTGGCCTCTCTAGTTTAGTGCTGGGAAAAAACTGGACCAGATAACCAGGTGGTAACTTTAGTTTGAAAATCTGTCCTGCTTAACAGTATTATGTGGTTCCTCATCATCTACAAGATAAGGCCAAGAACCTAGATGATCTCCAGATTCTCACCCCCCACATCAGGCTTTCTGATGTGGAGCTGTCTGGGGTTTCTGGAATCTGCCATGCTCTACTGAGCCTTTGAAATGTACTGTCCCCACAACCTGGAATGTCCTGCAACCCCACCTTCCCTGTTTCGCACGGAGTCACTGATGCCCTGAGAGAAGCTGGCTTGGAGTGGGTCAGAGGGAGAGCTCTGGTTCAACAGTTGAGATTCCCCCTTAAAAGATTTTGCCCTGGTTCTGTGCAAGCAGCCTCACATCCATGCCCTCTTTGGATTTACACAGCTCTCGGGGAAGCATCGGAAGGGTTGCAGATCTCGGGCAAGAGGAGTGACTTGCTCAAGGTCACACGGCCAGTATGAGGGCAAGTCTCAGCTCCGGTTTAACTCAACTGACTCCCTTTCCAGGGTGGATGCTGCTCTACAACATGCAAAAAGAAGATGCTGGCCACTGGGAACCGTTAACGAATATTACAATTATTCTCTGTTGAAGTCTGGACAAATCAACTGCAGAGGAGAACTGAGGTTACTGTGTGATGATTCAGATCTCAAAAAAGCAGGTTTTGCTTAAGACGCTTAAATAACTCAGCATTACTGCCGCCCCATCCGGGACAGGACAACCAGGCGGTGGTAGATGACTTCTGGGTGGGAGGGGAATGGAGTGGGAGGCGGGAGGCAGGCTTCCAGAGAGAAATTACCATTCCGTATTTATGACTTTGGCTGGCAGGAGTACCGCAGGGACCGGCTTGCTAATACATTAGATAATTGCCTCAGTTCTCCGCTTCATTTTGCAGTGTGGAGACCAGCCTAGGTGCAGACTTGTAGAACATGATTCAGCCTGGCCCTCCCAGGTGCCCCAGAGACCTCTCTCAAGCATGAGGTGAGGCATTGGTGAGGTGGAGTGTTGGAATGAGAGAATCCCGGGGGGGAGATGTCTGGTTCCTGTGACCACAACTTGCAGAGCAAACGGAGTAGAGGAAGAGTCCCAAGCTGGGGACCGCAAGCCCAGAGTTGCATTCTTCTGCTGACTGCCAGGCCACCCTGGACTCTCTAGCTGCCCCTCTCTGGGCTTCTGGTGCCCACATGGTATTTTACAGGTGGAGATTGTAAATCAGTGTTTCTCAACTCTGTGGCTACACGGTAACATCAACTGAAGAATTTTTTTTTTTTTTTTGTAAATTATTAAAGTCCCAAATTCCACCCCCAGAGAATCTCATTTCCTTGGCGTTGGAGTCAAGCCCAGACATGTATTTTGTAGCCAGAGTTGAGAGTCCCTGGATTCACCCATCTATGCAGTCTTTCTCAGGATGGACTTTCTAGGAGCCTATGTTGTGGGAAAAGGCAACAAGTGATTAACCTTGAGATCCAAGGTCACTTGTTTCCAGGTTTAAATTTGTTTTTTTATTTTTTCCTACCAATGCCTGCCTGAGTCTCACCCTGGGCCCACTGAGGTCCCTCTTATCTGTGGACATTGGAGAACTCCATGGGAAGCCAAGAGGTCCAGCTTCCTTTTGTGCGTTAGCTCTGCGGCCATGCACTTGGGCTCCCTGGGCCTCCCTTCCCTCGTGTCTAGATCACGAGAAAGAAGCTAGGCCCTGCCTTCCTGCACCAGGTGTGGGGGGGAACCAGGTGTTTTACACCACAGTCCAGCGTCCAAAGTGCTCCCCAACAGGTGCCTGGGAGCTCTGCATGAGAGCAGAAAATACTATTTCTCTCTCATCGGTGAAGACATAGAGGCTCAAGCTGGTCAGGTGACTTACCCAAGGGCATTCAGCCAGTGAGAACTGCATCTAGAAAGACATCAGTTCGAATCCCAGTAATGCTAAAATCCTAGTTCATTTTGACTCATCTAGTCGACATCCTGTGCCTCGGTTTCCTTATACGTAAAAGGGGCATAAATACCAACCATTTTCACAGAGTGCTTGTGAGGACAAGAAAAATAAAAGATAGCCATGCAGAACCTGTCGCGGACGCGGGCACAAAGCAGATGACCCGTTCACAGAGCTGTCCTCCTTCTTCCTTCTCTTACGCAGTCATTTCCCGGGTCTTCCCTTCCTCCCTTCCTTTCTCCTGGTAGTTTTTAAATTCTTCAAGGACTGGGATTCCCTGTGCATGACCATGGGCAAGTTGTTGAATCTCTCTTCCTCAATTTCCCTGACTGTAAAGCAGGGTTAAGGATCATCTTTATGAAGGCTTCAATGGGTAGAGAGAACAGGATTGGTCCCCAATCTTCGGCTGCTAGCCATCTGCTTTTTTAGGGTGTTCCTTCTCCCATTGGGTCCCTGGCACCCTCCCCAGAGCCCCTGCAGTGGTTGTTGACTGATCAAGCAAATGATCCCAGAGGCAGAGGGACAGTAAATAAGCAGCCCTTCCCGGTCCCTGTATGTCCTCAGCCACGACAGCTCTGCTGAGCACGAACAGCCCCCAGGGTTCCCGGACAGAGAGCAGCAACCCTATATCAGGACATGGCTTACTCTCTTAAGATGGCAAACAGGAAAAAGCCATAAATATGGAGGATTTGTCTGCGATAAGTCATGGTTAGGAACCCGAGCTATATAACTTTTTAATTCTCCACTCCAGCTTGTAAGCTCAGGCAGTAAAAATAGTCACTAGTAATTTATTTTTTTTCCACTCTTTTAATTTTGTCTTTTTTTTCCCCCTCTAACCAACCAAAAAGTCCTCCTAAACTCACTTTAAGCTTTTATCCACCCACCCCCAATGTGACCATGGATTACAATTCAAAAGCTGTCCCCTCTCCTACGTTGCCGGCGTGAAAAATCCACAGGCTTGGAGCAATGTCTTAACCAGGAGTGGAGACAGGAGCGGGTCCAAGCTCTCTTTGCCTCACCTGTCTCCAGGGGGCAGAGGAGGCTGGTGTGGAGGGAAGGAAGACATGGTGTGCAAAACCCAATTGTGAGAGGGTTTGAGGGACTTCTCTTTCACCTTAAAGCTGAATGATCTCAAGGAAAGTGACTTTCCTATTGGAGCTCAGTGTCCTCATTTGTAAAAAGTGGATACAAACTGGTGACGGAACCTCTGTCACTGGGGTGTTCGTCAAATCCAGAGATAGAGCCTAAAACATTTGTCGTTCAGTGTAAAGAACTATCAGTACCTTGGGGATCCATATGACCACTGCTGGTGATGATGGTGATGACAGGGATGATAATGTTGGGTTGGTGATGGGGATGGCGATGAGGATGGTGTGTTACTCAGTCTTTCATTGCTGTGATGAAATGCCCAAGGAAATCAACTTAAAGAGGGAAGAATTTATTTTGACCCTGCTTTCAGACATTTCCATCCATAGTCGCAGGTGGTAGAGAGACCACCTCAGGGTGGCCAGTAAGCAGATAGAGGGGGCAAGGGTCCCAGGATTCCATTCAAGGCCACATCCCTAATGGCCTCCTTCCTCCAGGTAGGCCCTGCCTCTGGAAGTTTCTACCACCTCCCAATAGCACAGGGGACCAAGCCCTTCTCCCATGAATCTTTGGGGAACATTCCAGATCCAAGGGATAACAGGTGATGATGGGTGATGATGGTGGTGGAATACTATCATGTACAGGGTAAGGCTGATGGATTGATGTGGTAAGATTTTCCTAAGGGCCTTATACTTCTCTATGTTAAAAAAAAAAAAATGTGTCCAGGGCTGGGGCTGTAATTCAGTGGTAGAGCACTTGCCTAAGATGTGCAAGGCCCCAGATTCCAACTGTAGCACTGCAGCAAAAAACAAGCAGGTGGACTCAGTCTACCCCTTAGAGACTTTAGCCATTCGTCCAACAGATATTTATTGAGTGCCCACTGTGTCCCAGACCCTCCTAGCACTGAACCGCAATGAACCTACAATATAGACACAGTCCCTGCCCTCATGAGGCTTCTAGTCTAGAAGATGGTGAGGGGGTAGAGGTGGAGGGTAACTATAAACATAATTTCATAATGTGACAAGGACTCTGGAGGTGATAAAATAGGACACTAGGTTAGAGGGCAAGGGGGGGATGTGTTGGCAGGACGCCTTGGCTCTTGTGGTCAGGAGCCCTGCCTGAAGAAATGACCTTTGAGCTGAGACCTAACTGACGGAGAGATGCAATCAGTGGGGAGCCCCAGAGGCAGAGTGTTGCAGGTGGGAGACCCACAGTGCTCCAAGATGAGAATGACCTCGCCTTGTTCTAGAGATGGGAAGGAGGATTAAGTGCTCGGCAGAGGGGAAGGGGGAGAGCGGTGTGGGCTGACCTCGGAGAGAGAGGTGTAGGCCAAATCAAGTCAAGCCTAGCAGGCTGTGCTGAATTTGGGGATTACCCCCTGGGGCAGTGAGAAGCCACAGGAGGGTTCAGGTACAGGAGCCCCATGAATTAACAGACCCTTTGAGTTCACTGTGGCTTTGGAGATTGGCAAGAGTGGATGAGCGTGGGGGTGAGGAGACAAGTTGGGAAGCAGATGCAATATTCAGGCAAAGAGATGCTGATGGACTGGGCCAGCATTGTGACAGTGGAGGTGGCAGGCATCACCCAATGTGGGATCTGTTGAAGGTAAATCCAATGTGATGGGATGGGGATGGGGATGTGACGAGGAAGGTGGTGGTGATGATGATGATGATGATGATGATGATGATGATGATGAAGAACCTGGAGTACATCAAAGGGGGACTCACAGATAATGCCCAGGGGTGGGCCTGAGCCACTGGGCTTTTACTGGTGACGTGATCTGAGAAGAGAAATCTGGGAAACAGTATTTGGGAAATGAGAGAAGTGGGGGGGGGATAGAGCTCTATAGTCCAGGCACGTTGAGGTTTAAATGACCACTGTGCATCCAAGTCATCAGCTGGGCATCTGAGCTGGAGCTCCGAGGGAGGGTCAGACACGAGATAGGGGCTTGAGAGTCATTGATGGAATGGGGCGATCTGAAGTCACAGGGACTGGATAGGATTGTAGAAGTTGAGTGTGTAGACAGAGAAGAGCATCAGGCTAAGCATTGGGGGTTGGAGATATAGCTCAGTTGGTAGAGTGCTGGTCTTGCATGCACAAGGCCCTGGGTTCGATCCCCAGACCACAAAAAAATAAAATAAAATAAAAATAAGCACTGGGTCCTGAATTCACCAACACTCAGGAGACAGGAAGCAGAGGAGCTGGCAGGGAGGTGGGAGGGAGAACCAGAGGGCACTGGCATAGAAGCCTCTTGGGGGCTGAGGGCTGGCAACAGTGAGCTAACACAGGGAAATTTCCCTATTGGAAAAGGGAGGCTGTAGAGTGTAGAGGTTTTAAGCAGAGGTTATGGAACCAGGTGCACCTGAACCCAGGTCCTGATGCTGCTGTTTTTTGGCTTTCTGACCTTGGCCAAGCCCTAACCTCCTTGAACCATGGCTTCCTCCTCTGTCTGCCATTATTATTCAGTGTAAAGAAGATAATGTCCATAAAGTGCTTAGCCCTGAGACTGGCCTAGAGTAGGTACTCAATAGACAGACGCTGTCTGCATTCTTCCCAAAACTGCTCAAAAGGGTGCAGCCGTCATCTGCCAGAGAGCCCAAGTCATGAAGGGAAGATTTTATTGGAATAATCCAGCATCCATTCAGGGTTGGGATGA